ACCACAAAGAGCACAGCTAAAACAAACACACCTGCCTCACAGCACACCACAAGGAGAAAAATAAAGATCTCATATTTTGGGGTGCACTGCTGTGGAAAAAAATAAGTTGTCTGCTTTTTTGGCTCTGTTGCGTTAATTGGAAATAAATGGGCCACGGCAAAGCAACACATGTTGACGCACATCACAAATATTGATGCATGAATCAGTCCTAGGTGACTGGGGGAGTGGACCCATTAATCCTTGTAAAACTGGATGGATTTACACCACTGGCTCTAAGGTGGCCAACGCGGGCTCCCAGGTGCCACCTGTTAGAATACAATGCAAACAGCAGGATTCCTCGCTCCACACGCTGTTTGTATTGATAGAGGAATTGGGTAAATTTTTGAAAATTGATAGGTGTATGGCCAGGCTTGGAGCACTATAAATTACCTAAAAGGTACAGCACACCAGAACCAGAATGTCTCAAAACTGGCTTTGTCGGACTAATTTGTAAATAACCATCTCAAAAGGGATGAGTCATTGCTGATGTAAAATGCACTTTGATCGACAGAGCTTTTTATACAACACGCTGCTTACAACAGACTTCTGAACAGTCCTTGTACATGTGAACATGTACAAGGACATGTGAAAAGAAGGCTAAAGCTCAATCTGTTGGCTAATAACACACAAACGTTTATAAAACATTTCACATTTACCTGAATTTCTTTTTAAAAATTTATTTTATTTTATTTTCCATAATACCAAGTAGAAAAAATAAGTTAAAAACCTCTACACATTCCCTTTAAACTGTTTAGTGAGCACACATGAGTGCCTAATTGTTTACTGCTGTGACCAGGCTGTTACTAGAAACCAATGTCACAGAAGCTAAAATCAACAATTTGCAGGCGATAACTGCTGTCATTTGAGAAAGATAGCCAGACAAAGAGCTGTTGTTGAAGCATACCTCCCAACTTGTAAAAGAGGAAGACCGCAGTGAGGAGATAATATTGAAAAATGGGCACATTGCACTGAACATTGGCCACAGCATAAAGGGGCTGGACTCAGCAAGATGGCTGTGTCCATACAAAACTAATTAATATATGCCCAAATTTCGTTTTTCATGTATATTTGGGCATAATAATTTGTTATTTTGGATTCGGACAAACTGCCGAATCAACAGAATTGTGTGATTCAGCAAGTTCGTCCGAATCCGAATGCATATGTCTAATATACGCTACAGCTTACAGACTGCAGCAATCCAGAGTGGGAAACACACATCACACATTACAAAGTGGAGCAGTTGGGATTACTTAATGGTACACCATAGTGTATAGCATGCAGGGGTCAGCAGTGTGTAATGTAAAAGATACCATACAGAGTGCCATGGCCAGCACTATGTAATGCACAGCAGAATAGAGTACTGTGGTCAGGAGAATGTAAAATAGAGCCCCTTACATTGCTCCTCAGCCCTTGGAAACAATGTCCCAGCACCAGTAGTCAGTGGGAAGAGGAATCACCCAGTGTTAGTGGCCACTGGCAGGAAAAATACCACAATGATGGTGGTCAGTAAAAGCAAAAAAGTAGTCAATGGGAAAAGGAATGCACCAGTGTCTGTGGTCAGTAGAAAAAAAGTGCATAAGTGTTCCCCAGTGTTCGTGGTCAGTGGTAGCAAGTTCCAGTTTTCCGTGTAAAAAGAAAATCCCTGGCATTGGTTGTCACTGAGAGACAGAATACCCTTGTGTTGGTGGTCAGTGGGAGCAATCCACCAGCATTGGTGCTCAATGTGCAGAAGAATTCCCCCAATGTTCAATTGCCCTCATTTGATTACTTACCTTTTACCGACTCCTGATTTGCTCTTATGTTATATTCTGATGAAGTATTGCTTGGATATAAAAGTCTCCCTATGCCCCAGGAGCAGACAAAGTTGGAGCACACTGCTTTGTCCTTGCAAGTCCCCCCAGTGCCCCCAAATACCAAGTTCTAAGAGAGAGCCTTAAGCCAAAAACAGTAATGTACAGCTGCCTTTACCAGGAATTAGTTCCCACTCACCTGACCCACCTTGTCTTTCCTTCTTCCTATATGCTGGACTTACATTTCTCTGTATTTCTACTGGTTCCTCTGTTATGTCTTTCTGTTGCAGAGGATTGAAGAGAAATGTAATGGTCTGAGGATAGCCATAAGTGAAAAAACAAGTGGCTGTATACTGCGCAGACCCACCAAAAATGAATAGCCCATTACAAGCTAAAATTACAATACCCGCTATTGCTGCAATATTCAGCTTCAACCTAGTGATTTGCCTAGATGCCCTCAGTCTGATATCATCCTGGACCTGCCCAGCCTGCGACTGGACAGTGAAAGGAGAAGCAGCTTAGTGATAAGCTCATCTCTCTGTCACTTTGTTCTCTCTGCCTATCAGCATGCTTCTCGTCAGCATATTAAGGACCCTGTCAGTTTTTCAGACTGACCCGATCAGATGCCCAATGCAAGTCTATGGGCAGCCGTGTGTAAATGGATAAACGTCTGTTTACCCACGGTTATCCCCGGCTCCGGAAAAACGAACGGACCGGTGTTCCGTTTCACCGGACCACATCGTGCCCGATCAGCGTAATTTGATGTAAACGGACACATGTCCGTTTACATCCAATTCCCCATATACAGACATGGGGTCCGGCAAATGCAGTTTTTTCCTCCATCACAAGGTGGAGGAAAAGAAAAGGCATAGACACGAATGTCAGCCCACCCACATACACACAGAAGTCACCTCTCGCCCACATACACACAGCAGTCACATCTTACCCGCAGACACACAGCAGTCACATCTCGCCCGCATACACACAGCAGTCACATCTCACCCACATACACGCAGCAGTCACCTCTCGCCCACATACACACAGCAGTCACATCTTACCCGCAGACACACAGCAGTCACCTCTCGCCCGCATACACACAGCAGTCACATCTCGCCCACATACACACAGCAGTCACATCTCACCCACATACACACAGAAGTCACCTCTCGCCCACATACACACAGCAGTCACATCTCGCCCGAATACACACAGCAGTCACATCTCGCCCACATACACACAGGAGTCACATCTCACCCACATACACACAGCAGTCACATCTCGCCCACATACACGCAGCAGTCACATCTCACCCACATACACGCCGCAGTCACATCTCACCCACATACACGCAGCAGTCACATCTTGCCCACACACACCAGTCACATCTCGCCCGCATACACACAGTAGTGTTAGTATAATTATTATTATTATACAGGATTTATATAGCGCCAAGAGTTTGCGCAGCGCTTTACAATATAAGGAAGACATTACAATCACAATACAATTCAAGACAAGATGGTAAATAATAATGGACGGGTGGTAAGCTCCCATGCTGACTTTGGGTCACAAGAGTACTTTAGGAAATGTCTCTCGTGACCCAAAAGAGAACTATAGCCCAAAAAAAAAAGTTTGGCTATAGTTCTCTTTTAAAAGTGCATGTAAGTACCTCAGCTGTAGATCATCATATCATCTCTGAATTCATGCGGACACCGTCCTTCCTTCTGGAGGGTGGCTACTTTCAGGGCTCAAAATAAGTTGCCGCTTGTAAACGTCAGATTAGGGATTCCTGCCACAGGAAAACGCAAGTTCCTGACACAGGAATCCCTAATCACACCTGAAATATACTGTAGGTGTGAATGGGGCCTAATATACACATACACTAAAGGTGCCCATACACCTGCCGATTATCGTACGATAGCTGTGGGTGATCCCGCGATCGTACAATAATCGGCAGGTGTATGGGCAGCGTGCGACTGCTTCTATTGTAAGGTCACACGACTTTCGTCTTCCGAGCTGCTGGAAAACTTGCCGAAAATCGTAGATTTTCGGCGGGTTGGTGGCGTGGTCGGAACACACTGCCCGCTCAGCACTGCAGTCCTCGGAAGCCTTCCCCTCAGCGGGGAGGGCTTGCGATGATCGCAAATGCGATCTGCCTGTCCAAGATGGGCAGATCATACGACATTTTAATGTCCTTACAACCATCGCACAACGAAAGTCGTGCGATGGTTGTAAGGTGTATGGCCAGCTTAAAACACAATAAAGTACCAGCTCGCGGGCCAGAGTTGGTCCGCGGACTGGTACTTGGAGACCCAAATTTCCACCCGCCCTCACTTTATTTTTACTCGCCAAATGCGAGCAGGCGAGTGGAAATTTTGAGCCCTGGCTACTTTTGTTACCCATGGTCCCTGTGTGTGTAAAGTAGTCACTGCTCCAAGTTCACTCCCATGATGGACTACAATCTCATTACAAATAATCATGAGATTGTAGTCCATCATGGGTGTAAGCTTGGTGCGGTGGCTACCTTACAACACACAGGGACATGGGGAGCAAAAGTAACCATCCTCCAAAAGGAAGGACAGCGGCAGCATGCATTCAGAGATGATTTGAGGATCTACAGCCGAGTGATACACAAATAAGATACATTTTGTTAATAGGATAATTTAATGCATTTTTAAGATTTAACGCCTGAGTTGTGTCCCTTTAAGATCAATGACAGGTATTGTCACAGTTGGCAGCGCCAGTAGAGTTAGCCAGGGAGCCAAAGTTTTGCCATGGACCCCATCATTTGTAGTTATGCCCCTGGTTGACATGCTGCATTTTTATGCACTTCTCTGCTCAGTTGTGATGTGAATGAGGCACAATTGTTTTCTATGGGCCCTTCTAGAAACCTGCGTTGGTCAGGTTCAGGTTTTCCATCTGAGCATGTTGGGAGATGAACATAGATCATAAACACTTTAAAAAAAAAAGAATACATATGCTGTGGTGTTTACAAACAGCACATAATCCATTACTAAAACAAACAGACTCTACAAATGTTGAGGAGATCCTCCACTGTGTACAGCACCGTGAACATGGCTGTAGCTTTTTTATGTGGAAAGATTTGTTTTCACAAACGCGGAACCTTTGTGTCTCGGAATGTTTCTTCACCTACAAGGCAGCCCGGAGCGCGTTACCACCGCCACAGAGCCATGCTAGAAACACTTCCGGCCAACTCATCGCTATATTTGTCAGAAAGACAGTTCAGTGGCCACCATGGTGTTGCTGACTTTGATCGCCCGAGTGGCGGACGGATTGCCTTTGGCAGCGTCAATGCAAGAGGACGAGCAGGTAGGGGTGGAAGCACGGTGCGCGTATTGTATACTCTCCCCCATTGACAGCAGTGGCTTCGGGGGAGTATTAGGGGAACTAGCTGTGTGTGACATATCCCATTTTGTTGGATAGAGGTGAAGGTATGATTTTATTTACACAATGGGAGATTGTGTATGATGACACGAGGTTTTAGTGACATCGGAACCATCATACTGCTCTCAAGAACTGCTGACATGTCTGAATGTTCAGCTGTCAGTGAGGCTCTTGTATGAAATGTTAAACGTCCTGCCGATACAATTCCTTTCCAAATACCTTTTCTGCAGCATTGACTTAAAGTACACGTAAATCTTATTTTCGCCCTTTTTTTATTTTGCTGCAGCCACTTTCTGTCTACATGCAGATGCTCTAATATCAGCTGCACATCATTGCTCAGGATGGGCTTCCTGAAGGTGACAGTGGCAGAACATGTCTGCGCTTTGAACGTCTGCATTGGAAACAACGCAGGAGACAGCGACAGGGAATTGTCAATATGCAACAGAGCAGAGAGCACACTGATAGTGTAGCAATAAAGGTAACAGCATAAAATGTTCTCACAAGGGGAATAAAATGGTTGCCTGTCTGTGGCCCAGTATCCAGTCCATGGAACCTCCAGCCATGGCCAGTGGCAGGAGTTGGAGCTGAAATGTGTCCAGGATGCTGGGAGGGGCTCAGCTGAACCTCCACTATCAGATTGTGCAGTGGCCAAGATGATTAAAGTCCTTCCCATGAGTTTCGGGGAGGCATTCCTTTTCTCAAATCCCTGGTGTCACCTTGGCAACTAGTAATGCTGACTCAAGAAGTGTGAGGAACTCTAGTCCTCTTGGCCACTGCACTCTGCACCATCTGATAGTGCCGATCCCAGCATCCTGAAACCTTTTGGCTTCAACTACCACAGCTGGATGCTCCATGGACTGGAGGTGTTGAAGATTACTGGGCTACAGATAAGTGATCCTTTTTTTTTTTTTTCTTTCTTTCTTTCTTTCCCTTGTGAGTGCACTTTTTGCTGTTACTCCTAGGCCTCTTTCACACGCGTGGCAGGGTATACCGATCACTGAAAAGCGATCTACAGTGGATGGCTTTTCAGAGACAGTTGAGCAGTGGTTTGCAGGCATTCAGGAGGCGATGCTGCTGCCTCCTGAATGCCTGTTTTGTCTTTTAATCAAATGCTTTGCGTAAACAGTGCTAGAGCTGCAGCTAACGATTATTTTCAAAATCGATTCGTTAGCCGATTGAGTTTGGTTAATCGGATAAAAAATAAAATACATTTTAAAAAATGGCTCCAGGGATGGGACTTCTAGTTTGTGTTGAGATTGCAGTCCGTCACAGGAGCAAGCTTAGAGCAGTGTGGTGTGCAATATAGTGAAATGGAAAGTGTAAAATTATATAGCAATGAATGCAGAATGGCACCGGCTATAGAAGACTACAAATCCCAGCAATAGTACATTATACAGCACAATACAGAATACCACCAGCTACAGAGGAGTACAACAAATCCCAGCAATAGTACATTATACAGCACAATACAGAATACCACCAGCTACAGAGGAGTACAACAAATCCCAGCAATAGTACATTATACAGCACAATACAGAATACCACCAGCTACAGAGGAGTACAACAAATCCCAGCAATAGTACATTATACATGCAGTGTATAATGTACTATTGCTGGGATTTGTAGTCCTCTGTATAATATACAGCACAATGTACCATCAGCTATAGAGGAATACAAATCCCAGCAATACATTCTAGAGCACCATGTGGAGGGGAGCGCAGGCTTACCTGAGCAGTCTTCCAGCAACTTGCTTCTGAGATCGGGCCTGTCTATCGGCGATTGTCATCCCCCCCACGCCTGCTCCTCCTTACTTCTTCTCCCTGCGTCACTGTGCCGATCGTGGATGCGGGAGGGCAGTGAGCGTGAGGCAGTGCGGCGTGTGGAGCGTGGATGCGGGCGGGTTTGGCAACGGCGAGCAAGAGGTGGGGAGGTGGTGCGGCGCGCAGCGTGTGTGGAGCCGTAAACAGGGCCAACTAACCAGAAGCCGATTAATCGATGATTGAAAAAGTTGACAACTTTTTCAATCATCGATTATGTCGATTAGTTGTTGCATCCTATAAACAGGAAGGGCCTTAACTGCAGGATCATTAGCTATTATTTTAATGAAAACTGCAGATTTAGGATATGTTCACACCATATTGGTCGAAGTGTTGCTGTAAAGGGGCTTGTAAGTACAAACTTAGGTACTTCCATTAGTTACATATAGAATACAGCAACAGTGTTGTTTTGGCCTGGAATCCTTATGTTCCCATGAAATTCAGCTGCTACAGGCACCTCCACCTAAACTAATCAGGTAAACTTGGGCTGTAAAAAAAACATGGGCAATTGAGTGCCTTACTTTTGTTGATTTTATTTGAGTTCTTGCACCAACTCAAAATTTCAATATCCTGCAATAGGTTGAAAACAGAGTGCTGCAGTCTATCTCCAGTGGTCTGACACACCTGCACCCCCCTGGTCATTACTAGAGCTCTCCATTTAGGAACACTCACAGTCCTTTCTTAGGCAATTTCTACTAAATTTAAGGAGGTTTCCTTGCATTTCCTGTTGTGTCTCTGTGGCAGGAAGTAGAATTTTAAGTTGGCACAAGGCAAAAGAAAGTCATGTATCAAAATTTTTATACAAATTTTGATCTAAATGAAACCAATTACCTGGGTTTGTTCCTCCAATCTCCTTTACAGCAACACTAGAAATATGAGTTTATTCTGCCATTCCCATGTCCTGTCACTGACAGGAGAAAAGATAAAGGTGTTAGCAGAGTGACCTTTTTAATGTGTCGCAGTTCCTTCATTGTCCAGTCGGTAGAATGTGTTTTTGATCAAGCTGTGTTGATGGTTCAGTGGAGGTCAGTGAGTTTGATGTGCTGTCTTAGCAGGGAATGCCTAGATGACAAACTGTTATTTAATAATTTTCTTGCTTGTTTTTGACAGTCTGGACGAGATTTGCAGCAATATCAGAACCAAGCCAAGCAGCTTTTTCGAAGACTTAATGAACAGTCACCTACTCGATGCACTTTAGAGGCAGGAGCCATGGCATTCCAGTAAGTACATGATAGAGTTTTTCATGAAGCAAAACAGGCCATGTGATACCGTAGTGAGAGAAGCAGCCATTCCCTGAATCACAAACTGCATATTATATTCCTTGTTTGAGATTTGTATTAAAAAAAGGGACATTTTATTGCCCCAGAGATTGTGTTACATAAGATGAGCAATGAATATGGCAAGTACAATGCTCCAAGAGGGAGTGAACGAGAACCTCCTTAAATAAACCACCAACGCGTATTAAATGTACATTTTAAAGCAAGTAAATTCACCATTTAATCTTGTTTTTCCCCAATCCCCCTGGTCAATCCACCTCTGCTGCTATTTATTAAAAATAAGTTTATCAGTGGCCAGCTTCTGCTTTGTTGTACTCTGTGATGTCTGTTCTATATGCATGCACTTTATGAGATCTGACATGGTTTCCAGGATCTCAAGGTTTTGTTTGACCATGAGAACGCCCTGGAATGCACTGGTGATTTAGCATTCCCAGGTGGCAGCTGAAGGGCACTGGGTACATGCCTCAGAATACTAGGAAATGGAAGAAAGGCTTTTTTTTGTTTAAAAAAAATATTAATTAAAGATATGACTGCAATGTGCTTTCTATTTAGAATGCACATGTGTTTTTTAGTTTTGGGGGTGAATGTCCACGATAAAGTCCTCTGTCCCCAGCCACCGCACTCTCAGAAGATCACTTACCCTTAGCTCTTAATATAGTGTATTGCCCTCTTTAGCATCAATAACCGCTTGTGCTAGTTGTGAATAAGACCCCAAGCTGCCCATACATGCTTCCAAAAAGTCTTCAGGTCATGTAAATTATTTGTTTTTCTAGCATGTGCTGCATGTTTGAGATTTCCCCATAGCGGATTCATGAGCTCAGGAGAATGTGATGGTCACTCCAAAACCTTACCTTTTTTCTGCTGCAGTCACTGAAGGGTTGACTTGGCCTTTCGGATCACTGTCATGTTGGCAACTCCAAATGCGCAACATGCTGTGAGGCCTTCTATAGAGAGGTGTGTGCCTTTCCAAATCATGTCCAATCAAGAGATATGGGAGGCACCTGAGCTAAATTTGAAGTGTTGTAGCAAATATGGGTCTGAATACTTCTGCCAATGTGATATTTCAGTTTTTTTCTTTTTAATAAATTCGCAGACACTTCTAAAATTCTATTTTCACTTTGTCATTATGGGGTACTGAGTGCAGGTTAATGAGAGAAAAAAAAGAATTTAAACAACTGTAGTATCAGGCTGGAACAAAACAAAATTCAAAAAAGTGAAGGGGGTCTGAAAACTTTCTGAATGCAGTGTACAATGGATGCTGCTTCTTGATGTTTAAAAATTTTGTTTGCAGAATTAGCCGGTCCCCTGTATAGGGGGGGAAGCTGGTGCTCGTTTTTGTACAATTGATCTGCCCAGATCACTTGTAGAGCAGCCTGCTCATCCGTCACCCCCACTGCCCTCCCTCCTCGCAATGGTTTTTGGTGTCCCCCGCTATGGGAGAACGCCCATCAATATTTACAGCACTTCCTTGTTCAGCTGTCACATGTGGAGCTGTACAGAAGATCCAGCACAGTGCAGGCTCCATAAAGAGAGCCTGTTAACTCTGAATAATATCGAATAGAGTCTGTGATATCAATAAAGTTAAATGAAAAAAATTAAAGTGATAAAAATACAAAATGATAAAATAAAAATTAAAGTGATAAAAAGGGAAAATAAATAAATTAAAATAAAAAAACTTCCCCCCTCCACCAGTACGGGTGTACTATCTGTACCCCATAATGCTGTCCAGTGCAGCCCAGCGCTATGGATTTTGAGCTTTACTCGCAAATTGCGAACCCTTGTTGGTCAGGTGACCATGCTGACCAATGAGAAGCGCTTCTTGGCACGGTGAAATACGGTTTTGGATAAAATTATTTTTTGTACCTGTTACCATACAGAGTTTATGTCACAAAGTATAGGTAATATGTATATAGTTTTATATGTCGTTTTAACTGAGGTGATGGTAGCTTGTTGGGAAATACAGTCTTTTGATGTGTTTATCATGGTGGAGGGGAGTGTCAGGCCCAAGGAATTGCAAATAGGCTCTTTTTTCACCAGGATGGGGCCTCCTGTGACGATTAATGGGTAACTATACATATAATCTTTCCACCACTTAACTGTTTGTCTGTTAGATACCAATGTCTGGGTATTTGGCATGTTTAAATCTTTTCTTTGTATGTTGTAGTTAAATAGATTGTTGGTTCATTGTATTTAAGTCTTGATGCTATATACCAATAAATTCTGTTATTGTGTTGAGCTCAAAAATCTCATGAATGAATCCTTAGAATCTCAAACCTGTAAGTGTGAATGCTTATATAGCGGTTCATAACTTAAAATAGTAATTCAGGTTACAACCAGGACAAGTAGATTGTCATGAGGAACAAGTATATTGGACCCCCGCATTAGTCCTTGGACTGGTGCATTTTTTAAAAATGTCTACACACCTGTGCGTGGAGCCACAGCAAATCAAGCTACTTCCCTCCCCCCTGGCCCCCTCTCCTACCTCCTCCAACCTAGTAGATGAACTGCTTTAATGCTTCACGGTAGAGATGGCATGCTTCTCTTCATAGGCCTTGTTAACTCCTCTCCAAACAGTGTTTATGGTTGTGACCATAAATGTAATTTTGCTCTTACCACTCCAAATGATTTTGTTTCAGAAGTTTTGAGGCTTTTCTAGATGCTGTTTAGTATATTGTGAGTGGACTGTTTTGTGGCACTGGTGATGCAAACATGGCTGACATTTACACAATATCTGCCAGGGTTATGTAAACCTATGAGCAACACTGTACAACTTGAGACAGTTTCATAATTAAGCATAGTTCCCACTCTCTTGAAGTGACCACAACCCCATTCTTTTCTTCATTTTCATCCTTATAAAATGTTTTTTACGCTCTAACTAAACAGCAAAAGTGCATCAGCCACATCCTATGGGTCATTTATTAACTCCAGTTTTATTATTAATCAAAATAAATCTTAAGACCATCTGTTTTCAACCTATATATCCAGAATATTTTGGGTTTATTTTAGATCTGTACCTCTCCACTTTCTTTCAATTCATTCTACGCCAAAAAATGTCAGATTGCAGTATGTCATTTCTCATGTTTATATGTTAACTTTTACAGGTCTATTCACTAAAGGGTGAAGAGTTTGGAGAAGGCAATAGAAGTGAACAATCTAGGACAAAATAGCCGGTTTGGAAAAATACTCCAATTCAGTTCACTTTCCAGTTCAGCTATGTTGTCCTAGATTGTTCCCTTCTCCTGCCTTCTCCAAACTCTTCACCCTTTTGTGAATAGACCCCTTAATTTAGGCTGATCCTTTCCCCCACAGTAATTCCTTTGCACCACTAGATGTTGCTAGTCTTCCAGAAGGAAGGACTACCAGCATCATTCAACCACTTTCCTCTGAGCCCAGAATGCCATGGCCCAGCCTCTTCAGGGAACATTATCACATCGGCCTGGGCTTAGCGTATTGCTGCACTAGCTGGTGCTCCCGTCATTATATAAGCGCCGTTTGGCACATAAAGAAGGACCTGCCACTGTCAAAGAAGAAGAGTACAGACCTGTGATGTTTACCAGACTACCCAGAAGAGCCTTTGAAAGGTGCTTCAAGACAGGTGAATCGTGTCTGCTGGTTTATTGTGTTGGGGCGCCATGCAGTATAAATTGCGCCACACTGCAGTATGTGTGTTGTGATAAACGCACATTAACGCGCATTTTAATGTACTTTACCGCAACGCTAAAGGAGGCCTAAATGTTTAACAGACTTGAATATATGAGCAAACCAATGTCGCTGAGCAATCTCGGTTCATCAATGCACCAGACCAAAAACAGTACCCAGAGTATAAAAAACAAACAAACAAACACCCAAAACCTCAGTAAAGCCAGGTATAGAGGTCTCGGCTCTAGGAAACTTATGAATTATATTTTGTAACCCACAGCTACCAAATTGAAAAAGGTGTTTGCTATCTCGTGCTGTGTGAAATGTCATTTCCGAAGAAGCTGGCATTTGCTTATTTAGAAGATTTGTACAATGAATTTGATGAGCAGCATGGGAAGAAGGTACCAACTGTATCAAGGCCTTACTCCTTTATAGAGTTTGGTGAGTTGTAAGAAAAAAAAATGGCATGCTGGAATTGAATAAAATAACGATGTGGAGAAATGTTTTGAGTATGCAAAAATGTAAAAACTTTGTGGTGGGTTTGGCTATATTGGGCAGCCTTGCCCAGCACAGTCCTACTGCATAGAGAAGACAGCGCTGTTTACAGTGAAATCTGTTCACAATGCTTTATGGGGATGGTGTGCACTGAAAAAAGTACTACATACGGTACTTCTTTCACTGCAGCATGTTGCAGCGCAGTACACCGCATCACAACGGACCCCTAACACAACTAAGCATATAATGTAACAGAATCCTAACTATGTATTTTACATATGTGCGGTGTGTACTTATTCTCATTAGAAATTTCCAAAATACTATGAGGGGAATTTATCAACATTGGAGCAGCTGTGCACAGGGACCAATGGTTGTCCTGTGCAACTGCTCCAGATTTTGTCTGCTCCGGTTTTGATACATTCCCCTCATTGTTATTAAACTGCACAATAATTTTTATTTTTATGATCCTCTGGCTTGGTTACATATGAGGTGCTTCCAAGCAGGCAGTGTTTTTTTTTTCTTTTTCTCAGAAACTTCAGTATCCTTCTCATAAGTGTTAGATGCATGTTATTGTCACATGTATTTAATATAGTGTTTGTATATCCAGAATTTAGGCTGTGTATGTTCTGTATTAACATTGTACTTAGTGCTGCCATGTGCATGTCTGTGTTATCAACACGTGGATGCGCTGTGGTCTGATGCAGATGAATATAATAAAGAACATAACTAGCAATTGCAGACTGAGCATTTTGAAAAATAAAAAAAAGAAATTGTAAACAAGTGTGGCTACTAGGAGCGAAGTATGAAACTAACATGTACCTCCCCCCCACCTAATAGCAAAAGTTTTAATAAATCCAAAACCAATGAATACAATTCTGTTTTGTTTAAAGTTAAAATAGAACTCAAGGTTTTAAACTTGTGATTTTTATTGCTCACTGTGTCTCCACTGGGGAGATGCCCCTTCTCTTCCTCTGTGGATTTGCAAGGGAAGGGAATTTCCCAGTTGGGAGACAGACAGTAATAGAAACCTGACAAATGTTTTAACTCTTTTTCCACTGTAGAAAATAGCGTTGTAGAGATTCCTTCTTATTTCCTGTCTTGGAGACCACACAAAAGGAAATGTACTGAATTGCAGCAAGAAAAAGCTGACAGAGCATGTAATGCTCACCATACATATTTTTTTCATGCAATTAACCAGATGTCTGATTCAATGCAACACAAACTGGAAATTCCACCACAATCCAGTCACTCTCAGTGTGAAAAGTTCATAATGGAGGTAATTGAAATGATAGTGAAAATGATTGAATATTCAGTCAAAATATCCAAATGAAAGTTTCATCAAATGATGGGTTTAGTATTAGTATAGCCAGTAATGAAAACAGAAAAATCTCTAGAGTTCCAGCTTAACAAATGTCATTTACCATACTAAATAAAGTATTGTGATAATTAATTGTGTTGTGTGTATGTAGATAATTACATTCAGAAGACAAAAAAGTCCTATATAGATAGTCGAGCACGAAGAAACCTGGGCTCCATTAACACTGAATTACACGATGTGCAGAAAATCATGGTGGCAAACATTGAAGAAGTCTTATTACGTGGTGAAGCTCTCTCAGGTATGTGTGTAAAAAAAAAAAAAAAAAAAAAAAAAA